GTTAGCTAGTTTTTACGGATTTTACCTTTTGTACCCCAGCACGTACCTAAAATACGTTCTTCCATAGAGCAAAAAAAACTAAGTTTAAAACGCAAAGAATAATTATATAAATAATTTTTTTTTTTTATCAATTTTTTAATCCAACCACAACTTTCCCAATAAAGTTGCGAGTTTAACATTCAAAAAAAACCACGCGCGCAGGATGGAAAAGAAATACAAAAATAAAAAAAATTCTAAGGATTCCAAAATTCGTAGCAACTTTCATTTATATTAACAAAACCCGAACCCGAATCTAAAAAAATAAAAATAAAACTGCATTTCTATTATTTGCGCGAAATAAAGGAACTAAAGGAAATAAAAAAGGCGCAATATTTTCTTTTGGAAAATCGTTCAATAGCTATGGCTCGCCTAAAAATAATCGTGAACAATATTTTTTATTATTTCGGAAACAAATTCATTTTTCATAATGTATAAATTATATTTTCATAATAGGTTTTTGTGTCACATGAATAGTGTTTTGTCTTAAAAAAATCTTTCGCACATTTTTCGAATAATGCACGTGTTTTCAAACTAAATTTGAGAACAAGTTGAATTATGCCAATTGATTAATAGCTACTTGCCTAAATTGGAAATCAAATATATTTGGATTTAAAATATCGGCGTGAGAAAATCATGTTATTCGAAGTTTGTTTTGTTAAGCACGATCGAAACAATTCATGATATTGATGTATTAAGAATCTAAAATATTTTATTTTAATAGCATTTCTATAACTGTAAAACAAGCGTACCACAGGATATCAAGTTTATTAATTATTAATTAATTAATTGCTACAAAATTTTTTTTAATCACATTTTTATCTTCGGTGAAAAACACATGATAATTTTTAGCCACTAGTTATTATTTGAGAAATTTATTACTATAAATTGTAACTTGTTCCTTCCGAAAGTCACACGAACCAATACTTTAAAAAAAGAATTTTTTATGAAACCTTCTTTTGTACTTTCAATTTTCAATTTTTTCTTTAAGAGTATATAATGCCTGAATTAACTCAAGAAGAAAAACCACCTTACATAGTCACCTTAAATTCGGACGAACAAGAAATTGCTACACAATCATTATCTGATGATGCGTTAACGAATAGAGAATTAAACGGATGGAAGCTATTTCCGTTAGCGGTAAGTATTAAATAAAAATCTTTTATTTTTACGACGTAAGCATATTAATAAATACACGATTTTCATTTTATTAGTCTGGAGCCTTTTCTATAATGATAGGTAAGCATATAAACATACAGTATCAATAGTTTTTTAAATTCTAACTCCTCTTGATTTTGTGATTTGAAGTATTGACGGCTTATTTATTGACGACTCTCGCAACTCAATCGGGGTTTGAATTGGATCTCGTGACTCCATGCAGAACGGTAATCATAAAATCTCTTTTTCTGAAATGAAAAACTCGATTTTAATTCTCATGGTTTATAGGAAGTTATTGGTTATAAATGTGTTACGAAGTTTGGATTTTGGTATATTGATACGGCAAACTATACTAGATATATATCAGCAATCACTACGGCGGTGAAATGCGTGATTTATATTTCTCTCGGATCTCTTGCAGATCATGGAGGTACATAATATTAATGTAAAATTCATTTATATCGTTAATAACTTATGCTTTTAATAGGATATCGTAAGAAATTTCTTTTCTTTTTTTCTTATTTGGGAGCGTTGTCAAATATTTTATTTTTATTAGTTCTTAACCCAAGTATTACATATTTTCTTTTCTTTTTTTTTTTTTGACTTTATAAATATTTGCACGGTTTGAGTAAAACGATTCCTTTTTTTTTTTTTTTAGATATGATTTGGCTCGCAGGACTTTTAAGCATCGTATCGTAAGTAGTTAGTTATCATTTTCTTTAAATCAAATTTATGATCTAATTATTTTTTAATAAATAGAGTTGCTAGCTCACATATTGCAACAGTATTTTATTTGGCATATATTCCAACATATACGAGAGTACATTCTAAGCTTATAGAATCCAAAGCAAATAATTCATCACTTGAAGAAATGATTAAAGATGAAGACAAAGTTTCAAGCACTTTTACCACCCATTCAGCGGCAATTGGTAGCGCCAGTTTCATTCTAATTTGTTTCATACAGATAGGAATTGCCAAGTTAATGAATAATGATCCTTATAATCAACAAGTAACTATCGCATTTATCGGCTTTTGGGGTATAGTGTTTTATACTATTCCACTTTACATGATTCGAGATCGCAAGAATCCCCCATTACCAAGGTAATTATCGTTTATCGTTTTGTTATTAATCGTTATTGGTTAAGATCATTATTCTAACGTTTTATCCTCTTAATAACAGTGGACAATCTTATTTTTCATATTCAATCAAAAGATTTTTTAAAACCATACCAAAACTTTATCATTTAAGACAATTTTCAAAATATTTAATCGCAAATATTCTAATTTTAAATTCAATCTTGAACCATGTAATAACAATAATTTTGTTGGCGACAAACTTACTACCATCATTTAATTCAACGAAATTAGCAATCAGTACGGTAATATTTCCTATCGGAAGTATTTTTGGGATGTATTTCTCTCTTTATATTCAAAGGAAGTTTGACATTTCCGTTAAGACGATCACGTTAATTTCTATCGGATGTTATTCGTTGGCACAAATATTTGAATTGATAGGAAGTTGGGTTAAACCTATTGATTCTTACTCATATGAATCGATATTTTGGTATACCGCCGTTTTTAGAAATCTTTTTGCGGGTGTAATATTAACTTATAAAGTATTACTGGCCGCTAGTATTATGCCTCCTAATGCTGATAATGAGTTTACTTCGTTATGCAGTATCTCACATAATGTAAGTAAATTATTAAATTTTCTCTATTTTTGAAAAAATATTTCGTATATTTATTATTTACTTTTTCATTTATAGTTAACTAGTTGGATAACCCCCCTTATATTAGCCGCTGTTACTGACTTTTCACATGAATTGAGATATTCGAATTTCGTTCTCATTGTTTTAACTTTGACAAGTTTTATTTTGATGAGTTTTATAGATGTAAAAATTGGAAAAGTTGAGGCCAAACAATTCGCAAATCGACAATCAAATAACAAAAATTAGGTTTCATATATATCACCCTTTACAGAACAGAAATTTTGCCGCCCTTTACATTTTCAATCATTTCATTATCATATTGTGCGGTCTGTAAAGTGAAATCACACCAATTTTAATTAATAAAGAAAAAGACGAGACTTTTTTTTTTTTTTTTTTTTTTTTTTTTTTTTTTTTAACGAAATGACATATAAACTTATGATTATTATGTAAGAGCGATTACTAGAGTTTATATCCGTTCATCCGGATATCCGATTAACTTGTATCTGTTTAAATCCGGATATCCAGATAATTTATCCGGATAATATCCAGATATCCAAGATATTAACCGGATATCCTAAATTATCCGGATATCCAGGATATCTTTTGAATAAAAATTTTATTTAAGGTTTTTTTTTTCATAATTGATAATTTAATTTAATTTCTCTTTTTTCAAAGTTAATAAAGAAACTTCGCTATACGTGTATTTTATATTGTTTCATATATGCAATATGTATTGTCGATCATAAATAATATCATATCACGTCATTTAACGTCATATAAAATATATAATATTTATAATATTTATAAAAATAAACAATAGAAAATTTACAAAACAATTAAAACAATTAATCCGTCCCTTACTCAATAATAATTTTATAAAAATTTTACTTTATAACAATTATATTTACGGTATCATAGTAGAACAAATATAATTGATTTATTATGATCTACAATACGTATAACACAAAATATTTGTCTTCGCTTACAATCACGCACCCAATAAGATTGTTCTCATTCCCACACAGTTTAACTATATGACCTAATCAAATTGCTCAGATTCTGGAAAAATCTTACCAAGAAGACGCCAATTTCGTTTACAAAATACTAAATGTTCAAAGGTAGATGGCAATAAAGCAGTTCGTTTAACTGTCATAACATTTCCGGCATCGGAGAATAATCTTTCACTGGAAGCAGATGTTGCCGGAATAGCTAAGTACTTTTTTGCTAATTGTGATAAGATTGGAAAGCGTGATTTCTGAGATGCCCACCATTTAAAAGGACAAGTACTAAAATCTGTTTCCTCCATCATTATATATTTTTCAAGTTCATCATGCCTTACAGGTCGATAACGATTAGCAAATATATTTCGAAGAAGAGAATTTTCAGGTGATTGTAATGGTTGCTGTTGAACTATGCCTAAATCTTCTTTAGTTTTTTCATAAATTTCTCTTAAGAGAATTTTCGTTCTAATTATTTGTGATTCAGATGCAAAACTAAAAGATTTACATCTTGGATCCAAGAATGCAGCTATCAAACCTTCATCTTGAGGTATATTCCAATAATGTTTCATTGCTATATATAATGCAGATTTAACCTTCCCAATTAAATCATTACAGTCCTGTGATACATTTATTGAAATTTTTCGTCGCTTTGGATGATCATCAATTTCATCATCATCATCTGGATCTTCAATACCAATATCATTATCAAAGACCGTTGTAGGATTAGTAAGATCAATTTCCTCAGGATTTATTTCACTAGAACTAATAATCCCATTTGTAATTTCTGTAATTGCATCATACATAAAGCTTATTGTCGCATATTTACTACCTTCAAGAAGTTCAGTTCCTGATGCAAAAGGTTTTAATATTATAATTAATTGTTTGATGGCAACCCACTCATCACCAGTAAGATTAATTTCACTGAATCTTTTTCCATCTTTTCGTGTTGTAGGATCTTTATCTCTCAACATAGTCATTGACATTACATCAATGTAATCATGAATTTTTTCTAACCGAATCCATGCTAAGTATGATGAATTCCAACGGGTATTTACATCAGAAATAAGTCTAAGATAATGATCATTTTCACTTAGATCCTAAGATTAAAGGAATTAAATATCAAATATTAGAAAATAAATTAATTACAATTATAGATTTTTATTAAATTATTAATTTACCTCTTCCTGATTATGTCTCATATTTTTTTGAATTTCAATTAATCATTCAGTTTGTTTTGGTGTAGTAAAGAAACTAATTAAACATTTTGCTCGTGCAACTAATCTCTCTATTAGAATAAGCCCTTTTCCTACTACTAATTGGAGTGTATAAGCTGCATATGGTAAACGTGTGATATTATTAGAAATTTTAAGTAGCTTACTAGCTTTAACTATGTTACTTCCGTTATCAGTGGTTATTGTAAAGATTTTTCCTTCTAAATTCTATTTTCTAATTATTTGATTAAGGCAATTAACAATATTTTCACTTGTATGTGGATATTTTAAATATTCAATTGCCAAAGTAGCTTCACAAAGTTTAAATTGAGTATTTACAAATGAACAAGTTACACCTAAGTAATCAGCTCTACTCCTTGATGTCTAAAGATCTAAGGTTAAAGAGCATGATATAATACCTTGTTCAAATAGATGAATAATTTCTTTTTTACAAAAATTGTAACTCTTAACTAGCAGTTCTCTCACTTTATTATCGCTTGATAATTCATAAAATGGATCTAATTCTTTCACAAATTCGTGAAAACCTTCATCATTTCTAATGCTTATTAGTTGATCATCTTTTATAATAATTCCAACAAACTTTCTATCTAATCGATTTTTTTTGGCAGAAATATTTTGAGTTTCATCAACATTTTCATTATTCTGTGATAGATCACTATCGCATGTAATACGATACTTTGCTAAATGAAAAATAAAATTTTTAGTACTACTATCAGATCTCATTATATGTCCGCAAGGTTGACCAAAAATTTTGACAAGACACTTGACACGTTTCTTATACTTTTCTGTAGATGGTAACTTTTTCAGATAATTCCAAATAAAACTTTGTTTATTATTAATATCATTAGAAAGATTCGCCAGTCTACTTTCTTGTTCTACATTATCAATAAGAACTTGTGGATTATTTGCATCTTTTTCTTCCAAAATATTTCACTCAGTATTGTTTACCAAGTTTGAATTACCTGAAGTTGAATCTTGTAATGAATCCTACGGTAGATCTTGCGATATGCGTTCTGTTTTTATTTCTATATTTCTTGTTTTGTTTGCTTTTTTTTTCTTATTCTTTCTGTAATTTTGTTTTAGAACTTTTTTTATTTTTTTTATTGGTTTGTAACTCTCGTGATATATGATCACTCATAATAAATATGAGAAAATAATAAAAAAATCATACAACGAAAACAAAAAAAAAATTATCAAGTAAATTCCAAAGATAGATCCTTTCAATAGTCAAATACAAACAGAATTATAAATTTTGAAATTTTTTATTTAATTTTAAATATTTACAAGTAAATTTATTTTATTTTTTTGTTTTAGTTAGAATGGTAATGCGTGTTGAACAAATATTGTGAAATCATGTCATATTAATCGGTTGATATACGATCGATATCTGGATATATTCAGATATCATCTGGATAATGCAGATATCCAGGTATTATCAGATATCTGTTAGATTATTCAGATATCCAAAATTTTGTATCCGTTCAATCCAGATATTCAAATATCTGTTGGATATTCATTTTTAACGGATAACAGATAACAGATATAAACTCTACATCAGAAAATATTTGGATAAGAAGAAAACTGCTTTTTTGTAATCCTATGGAATAATTGATTATATTGTAATAGATCCACCTTGTATTTTATAAGTAAATTATACTAAAGGTGACAACTTGATATTAAAATGTTTAAGGTCACACAAAAGTGCTAAAATTCAGTTATTGAAACTTTTTGAGTATTTATAAGGCCATTCGACTAATGATGAGGCAGGTAACTATTCATTAATTTGCAGATGCAGTAGCTGAATACAGGTGAATAAGCTTAATAAGCTAGTATCATTCAGAGAAGTCAGTAAGGTATCGTTGAGAGCTTACATATGCCTATAATAAAGGTATATTATTCTGTAAAAGAGTTTTAAGTAAAGGAAACAAGAAGGCATATCTATTGATAAATGAAGCTTTTTTTTAGTAGAGCTCTGAAGGATCTATAAATTTTTTTTTATTAAGTGTGGCAGTTTCGCATGATCTTTATTAATATTTATAATTTTACAAGAAAAATAAAATAAAACAGAAAATACAAAAATATCTATAAACTAATCTAGTGAACTAAACTACTTTATCAATATTAACCTTATACTTTACTGAACTAAACTATATATCAGAAAAGAAAAGAAAACTAATTTAAACTAAAATACAGATATCAAACATCTAGAAGGAAAGGCATGGTTACTGCTGGACTAGAAATTTGACCAGTGGGTACTATAAGTAATAGCTACTGTAAAGAAAACAGGATTATATAAAGGTGTTTGTGTAGAGCGAGGGAAACTAGAGGATACTCAAGCTGCAGTGAAGTCATCTTTAATGTTTTTAGAAGTTTTTCATATTTGTAGTAATTTACATCTTTCCAATCATATTTTGTGGGTTAAGCAGAATATGTCATCAAAAAAGGATGATATAAGACTAAGAGTAAGTTGTTTGTTGTTTGTGATATTATTAATTGATATAATAAGAGATGAAGGAATGATCCCTTTTAATAAGTCTATGAAACATAAATTGTTGTTAACTGTGCTACAATCCCATATTAAAGATTGATCTACATATAAAATATGTGTGTTATTATTAGGTCTATTGAGTTTTTTTAGTTGAGATATGAATGATTATTTGTATTTACAGATGATATTGCTAAGAGAAGTAATATTGTTAGGACAAGTCCAAATGTGATTAAAGTCTTCAATTGCGTTATTACAATAGAAACATTTGTTAGAAGTATAAGTTTTCAGATACCAAATATTCATGATTATTAAGGTGGAAAGTAATTGTAAGATCAATTTGAGTTTGAATTATTTTCTTTTGCATGCATCAAATGATATCACCTTAGCATTTTTTGAGTCATTGAAGAGATTGCTAATCAATGTGATAATTGCTGTATTTAGCAATTTGAGAAAGAGTTAAAAATGTTTTAGCTCAAGAGGCTTATTATAAGTGTTTAATAAATAAATGAGGCAGAGTGATGATTGGTATATTATTATAATACATAAAATATTTAGGACCTAGGTGATTATTATTGATGATAAAAGGAGCACTAGAGAGTTACTTTACTAGAGTATCTACTTTATTATTAAATTGATCTGATTTATGAGCTTTAACTTTTGTGAGTATTAACGTGACTTTATAGGTTATAATAAGTTGCATTAAGATCATCCAAATGTGAAAATACAGAATTTTAAAGGCAGGGTTCAGAGAGGGAGATTCTTCACATATAGCAACTATCTTATGATATAATGCAATTGAAGCTTGTGATTCAGTATAGATTTTAATGTTTGAATTTGGTGATGCAGTATAAGTTGCAGTAAGAATAGCAACATTTTCACTAATGTAGAGAAAGGAGAATGTACAGTAATGATGGAAAAAAATGGCAGTTGCGATTATGTGATTAAAATAATGATTTACATCACATCTGATTGGATAATACAAACCAAATTTTTGTTTGATTGTTTACTATGTTATACTGATCAACATGTATAAAAAACTGAACACAAGAATGTCTCATGACTGATATGATATAATAATGTCACAAAAAATTTTTATTAAAGAATGATATGAGGTAGTTAAGTTGTTGTAGAATAATAGAACACGAAATGTAAATGAACTACACAAAATTAACAAGTTCCTATTAAGGATACTGTATCAGTGGTTATCACAGTTAAAAAAAACCAAAAATTTAAAACAACGATGTTGTTCAGGATGCCCAAAAGTTTTAAGTCCAAAAAAGCAGCATCACTTTGATCAGCTCGCTTGTTCGCATGCTAGTGCAATAAGTTTTGAAATTGCAGACATTCTTAAAAATACTTACCCAGGTCTTAATATAACCACTCGCACAATCTGTGAGAACCTTTGGAAGCTTGGTTACTAAGTTTGTATTCCTAAAAAAATCCATTCCTCACTTCAATTGCAAAAGAGAGATGAGTTTCTTGGGCAGAAGTTCATAAAAATAAAAATTGGGAAAATATGGTTTTTTCTAATGAAATGATCTTTCAAATATTCCATAACATCACCTTAGTTCGTTATAAAGAGGGTGAAGAAAAACCAACTTGTGGAGTTGTCAAACACCCTTTCAAAGTTCATGTTTGAGGGCTTTTTATTTGCAAGAAATCATTGGGTTTCACATGTTTACTGAAAATATGAATAGGGAGTTGTACCGT